GAATTACCTGTGGGAGTTGCTAGCTGGCTGGAACTCTGTCATTTCCTGTGTTTTTCTCCTTAAAAGGAGAAAATCCGGGTTTTACTACTTAAAATGGGAAAATCTGGGTTTTGCCATGTTTTTGCATGGCAAACAGAAAATCCAGCTCCCTGATTATTAGGCTACTGCTCGGTAGCATCACCTAAAAGATGTGCACTGGCACTACTGTGCAGTAACTCCAGTTACTGTGCATTTATTTAGTACTTGATTATACAGGGGAATTAATTAGGGGGTTTCAACTTTTTAGTTGGGGTACCCCCAGCGGCTGGTCAATGAGCCAGGGGTTGCCCGGTGTCTGGTCAACAAGGCAGGGGGGTGGCTTCTTGGCACCACTGCCATGTACACCCTGGGGCCTTCCAAAGTACCCCAGGGGTATGCATACCTCTGGTTGAAAACCCCCCTATTAAAGGTGCAGTAAGGACTGCACAGTAGCATCTTCGTAGACGCGTCCCGTGTTCACAATCTAAGGCTGTCATTTAGACATGCATTTCTTGTTTTATAAAGACATTTAAAGAAATGCTTAACTTTAGGTATATTTTCAAGTCCCACTTAAAATTAAGTAAAGTGCATTTAAATGCCTTCCCAAATCGAATTGGACTTAAGCACAAGCCACAGTGCTTTTGTGAACTGGTGTCCAATCAATGATCTTACTCTATTTTGAACATTTATTGTACAATGATGGACTAGGACCCAGGGCCAGGATGAATCATTCCAAAACTGGTACAACCATCAGCAACTCAAGTGCATCCATCCCATTGTATAAAGCATAAAAATAGATTTAATCCTAAAATGCAGAGAAAACCCCCACTCTTGCAAATGTGCTGGAGGCTTTCCACTATATGGAAAAGATTTAGTTCTTAAGTTTCAGGTTTTGGCTTTTAAGGTCCAACTGGAAAAATATATACAAGTCAAGTGCAGCAACTTCGGTCCATAGATCCTGCTGATACAGGTTGGAGCCACTGCTGCCCAGAGTTAAATTAGAAACTGGAAAAAGAGTATTTCAAATAGACAACTAAGCCATCTTCTGGAACATAAGCTGAGGGGTCCATTAACAATGTGGTAACCTTGCTCCTATTTTCTTTCTTCATCAGTTTCTCCCTCTCTTTTCAAGGCATGGAAGGTATTTTTAAAGGCAGCAGCGCTGACAGGCAAGCTCCCAAGCATCTCGTGGCTTTGCCTCCTCATACCCTCGCAATAAGTTTGAGGGAGCGGGATGGGAAGCTGCAGCCCAGGGCAGAAAGCAGTGTCAGCTGACACCCAGCCCAAAGGAGCTGCTTTGCTCAGGGGAACAGGGCTTGAGTTTCCCAAGCTTTAAGCTTTTCCTCTCGGGAAAGCTCCACGCTGGGGCGTGTCAGACCCGCCACTGAAGGCCCAGGTTAGCGGGGCGGTACAGACACGCAGGGACCGGACCGGACCAGCCCAGCCCTGCCTTCGGTCGGGCGGGAGGGGAAGCAACTGCAGCCCGG